TACGGAATATTTGACCTCAAACTTTAAACAAAGTCCGGGATAAGTTTTATAGGAGACTGTGTTATTGCCAACAACAAGGTGGAGAACATTTTGAGCATTTATTTTAATGTAATCCAATCAATTACCTCGGGTATTCTCTGAATTAATTGTGTTGAAGAAAATTATACTTAATTTCAATATTTCACCTTATATTATTCATAATAGACCCTACGTGATATAGTTCGTTGAAATCAGGTTGTTAAGGAGCTTTTAAAAACATAAAAATATACAGGGTGTTTCATTTAAAATACAGATTATGGACTATGCCAAACTTGCGTGGATTACCCTGTACATTCAAATTTATGTTTAAAAAGCGCACATTTAAATTTAAAAGTTTAGGCATCTCAACGTTTTTTATTATTTTCTAAAATAAGGACTCAAACAATTTTATTCCATAAGTGGTTTCCTTCCACACTGTATAATACTACCAAGCGTGTACGATCGAGGGTATACAGGCTTGCGTCGCTTAAAAAGCTTTGTTTTAAATTTACAATTGTTTTTAGCAAGGTAGAAACCACTTATTCTTGTCAAAATATTCTTAAATATACGTAAAGTTTTAAAGATTATACAGCTTTTTGTAGAATTGTAAATCATTTTAGTAGTAGATTTTTAGAAAAAAAATCCCAAAAATAACTAATTCAGTCATTTATTTAACAAAAAATTAACAGGAAAGCAAAACTATTTACTTCGATGAGATACGTCTAAAAAAAATTTATTCAAAGCGATTTGAGAACGTTACTTGTTCTGCCGTCCTAACATGAAAGGTCCTATCTGCAAAATTTGGTAAAATGACTTTATTGGCTCACGGCATTCGTAAACATATTATCTATGTATATACAAAATGAAATTGTCCTATAAGCGTCTTAAGTGCCTTATTATATACCTAAATGGTTTGTCCTAACTGACTAAAAAGCCATGTTCACTAACATAAATTGTCCTATCTCACATATACTAAGAAAAATTGTCCGTTTTTACTTTAAAAATGCAGTTAGGACTATTTAAGCTAGTATTTTATACTGAGCGGCATCATTTAGGACAATTTTTGCCTAGTATGATATAAGCATGTGTGTAACATAACTTCAAATAATTAGTTAAAAAGGGTATTTGTTATTATCAGACATTGGGAATACTCTCATGCTTTTTGGTATTTTAAGTAAATATATTGTGAGAAATAGATGAAGGGTATGTTTAATAATGTTACCTTAGGTATAAGCAATAACTGATCGTAATTATTGTTTGTAGTAGTAGCAAAAAATATAGACGCACATGCGTCTATATTTTCTGGTTGTAGCAATGCAGCATGTCGTAGCCAGAACAGCGATAGGTATAAACGTATGGTATTTAGCCTAAAGCGAGAATGATCCAGATTATGCACCTGGGACGTCCAATAAATTCTACAATAATATAAATGGAAATGAGTCGGATTCTAGTTTCGAATCTAACTATTATCATTTATGTTACATATATTAGGATGTAAATTGTGTACTAAGTTTTAAAACTTCTTCTTCTTTTTATATAGACATGACTCTGTTTTTCACTGTACCTCCAGTAAGTTGCCGTTTCATCGTTTTGGTGATCTTCCTACTGATCTCATCGTTTTCGTGGTCTTCCAACTGATCGTTTTCTTATTGGGGAACCGTCTCTTGCCGTATTTACTACTCTATTTGTTGTCATTCGGCTCGTATGATCGTTCCATTCTACTCTTCTATTTCTTACACAGTTCAATATTCTTACTTTGTCTGATGTACCTCACCTTGCATATACATTGTATCTCTGTAGTCTGTATCTTATCTTAGCTCTATCCCATAGTGTTTTGCCATCAATGTTTCTAAGTTTTTTCATTTCTTCTGTTTATAACATCCTTTTTGACCTCTCTGTGTCAGGTCTTGTTTCTGCTACGTATGCCATTATTGCTCTGATGACTGTTTTGTAAATTTTGTCATTCATTTCTTTTCCGATATTTTTATTTCTTCATATTGTTTCATTCAGGCAGCATGCGGCATTGTTTGCTCTATTCACTTGATCTTCCACTTCAGTTTTGAGCTTTCTGTAGCTAGATAATGTGATGCCTAGATATTTAAACTCCATCACTTCTGCTATTATCTTTCCTTCCAGCTCCAATTTACATCTTAGTAAATTTGCTGTTGTAAGCATGCATTTTGTCTTTTTTGGGCAAATTAACATTTTTCTGGCGATTATATTAAATTGGTGCAGCATAAGTTGTAAATCATCTTCACTTTGAGAGATCAGTATTGCGTCGTTTACATAGTAGATTATTTTAAGTTGTTTTTCTACCATTCGGTATCCTTTTTTAGTTACTTTTTTTATTATCTCATCCATAATCAGGTTAAATAATAAAGGGCTCATAGAATCTCCCTGCCTTATCCCATTGCTAGTTACAATAGGGTCGGTTAGTTCTTCTTCTACTTTTACTTTTATTGTGTTTTTTTGGTAGATATTTTTGATCGTTTTGATTATAACTGGAGGAATCTCTCTTGCGTACAGTAAGCGGATAACCTCTTTTAGTTTAACCCAGTAAAATGCCTTCTTAAGGTTCACGAAACATAGATATGCCGGTTTGTTGTAGGTATTCTAATGATTTCTCTTGCATTTGCCTCATTATAAATATAGCGTCGATGCATAATCTTCCCGACCTAAAACCTTGTGGTTCTTCTGCCAGTGTTATAATTTCATTCAGTTTATTTGTTATCACTTTGGCTGTTAATTTTAGTGTTGTGTTTCATAAATTAATTCCCATTCCCTTGATCTCCATTCTTGTGGAATACTATTTTTTGTTCTATTATTTTATAAAACTTAGTATAATAAAATTAAAATTGTTCAGTTAATTTGAATTTTAGTTTTATTTAGGACAATTTTAGTAAGTAATACAAAAAAACGTACTTCAGATACACTAAGCTAAATTGTCGCAAGTGGCAATTTAATCAAAAATCGACTAATCTGGAAAGAATAAAACAAAATTCTGACTAGCAATTAAGTTCTATTCTCTGACATAATATATAAAATAAAACATAAAGACTTCTTTAAATTACCAAGCGTTATACAATGAAAAGAAACAAAAACTTGATTTTCTCAAAACCTAAATTTTGCAGATAGGACCTTTCATGTTAGGACGGCAGTGTTAATAACAATTTCCGGCCCAATTGGAATAATTAAAAAAAATACATTTTAACTTAACAAAAAAAATATAGAATCGAATAAAAAAGGATTGGTGCGGTAGAAATGCAAAAAAAAATATCAGTCGCTATTTTCCGTTTCTAAGCGTGTTTTTAGGGGTAAACCGCTCACCTATTAGTAATAGGCCCAAAATATTAAATAGTGTACAAACATGTAGACCTACTACTATAATGCTATCTCTGATAACCACAAACATACAACCCACAAAAACCAAACAGATACTTTATTCCTTTAAACGAAAATAAAATTTAATGAAATCGATGTCAATCAATCGATCCGTAAACCAAGAACTTGGTTTACTGATCGATTTGATAGATGATATTTTCACTATATATTTACAAATCAGAAAGAAAGTAATTAATTTAATTTATGTAAAAAGTACTTACTTCAATTGAGCTAACCGTCTATTTCTTCGTTTTACACTAACACATTTTTTATAATAACGTCCCATATTTTAACTTATGCAAATAAAGAAATAAATAAAGTATTTATGAATTAATTGAGCAATCACTATACAACGCAGTTCTTCACAGATATACACGTGCTAAGCCGATTCTGGATACACTAGATACCGACAGTTTTAAGCTTTCATACCAGTGAGAGTTTTACTACACGTAAATTGCTGTGCAAAGAAAGATAAAATAGGGATAGGAGCGACAGTGTCGATTCGGTCCATTTAAAATTTGAGCCTACGCTCGAGAAATGTAACACCAAGAAAACATAAAAAATTAACATAAAATATTGTAATCATGTTCAAAGTTTAGTCACTCTGACTTTTTTCAGATCCTTGTTCATGCAGAGTCGGCTCTGGAGCTCTTTCTTCCCGAGGCTCTCGAGCTGGAGCTCTCTTACAGAGGGATATTTCGATACCACTCTTGTAATTCTACAGGGATTATACTTGTATAAGCTTGTTTCATAATAATATATGTGCTATTATGTCTTTCCTTACGTTTTACATACATTTTTTTAAAATATGTTTGATGACTATATTTATAGAATATGACATCTGGTTTTTTCTTCTCGTACTTAAAACATTTTATTTTAAACTAGTTGACTGTGTTACCATCTTCGTCTACATTTTTGTATACAATCGTATATATTTTATATATTTTAATTCCATTACTTCATAAGAATCCTTTTTGGTAGTTCTTGCATTCCATAAATGAATGACAGGATTTAAGAAATTTTTGCTCGATAGCCTCAAGAGTTAGATGATTTTTAACACAACGTAAAACGGCTAGTGATGGGGTACTCGGATACTAAGAATCGAAAAGTATTCGATTCTGAAAAGTATTCATTGTCCTCGAGTACAAATATACCGGAATCAAATCCAGAACGAGTACATGTTGTCGGTCAACAATTGTGGACTACAATTATAGAATCGGAGACGCTTGAGCATCGTTACTTAAAAGTATTCGTTGGGTACTCGAGTACAATACAATACAACGGTATCGACTGCAAAAATGAGTTATATGATATTTATGTTAGTCGAATCTAGCTCAAAATTATTTTATGGACGATAAAATTACTGATAATCGCTGATAAAATATATTATAGTGCAGAATTATAAATATAAACGAAAATGACTAACAAATATAATCTACTTCCATCAGATCATAAATGAAATACTAAAAAAAAAATGTTAATTTTAAGTTTTTATAATACGAAAAAAAATGTTTATATACCAACACTGTTCAAGAAAATAATCATATCTAAATTTTTTGGTAATAATGGATTCTCCTAACATTAGTTAGCTGACCAGCCTTTCAAAATACCCTTTCCGATGGAACTGAAGTAGCTGGTATACAAAGATATTTTAAAGCTAGCTCGTACAGTTCTGGAAATATGATTTTATGTTTTTTCCAAAACTCCAGTGGATTATCCAATCTTTTTAAGTATGGCAGCTGTAGATACTGCTTGATAGTAACAAAAGCTGAACTAGTTTTAGAAGTGCTATTTTCTACTTTTTCCATTTTAGAATCGAAAAATGCCCAAATATCACCGGAATCGCCCTTATGTTGCGGGGAGTGCTCTGTAGTTTCCAATTCTGTTGAACTCGTAGCAGCTAAAAACCGTTACACAATAAAATCAAATTAATATTTCATAAAAGATAAAAAAATTACCTGCTTCTGCAAATTGTTTTGAATTTATTAAATGGGAAAGTTCTTCTGAAATCCATTGCTCTGCATTTTTCGCGTTTTGCTCTACACCAAATCAAGTTTCTTAAATCGGGGATCTAGAAAGGTGGCTTTAGCAACTATCTTATTTTGTTCCAAATATCCAGGACGTCTAAAAATTACTTCTATAAGCTTAGTTTTCAACACTTGGTCACACTCAGTTTTAGGAACAATATTTTGCAAGGAATATTGAAGTCGCCTTACTAGTGGGATTATTAATGAGAGTGTGGGATACTGGTCTCCACAAAGAACTGTAGTTAATTTTTCAAGTGCTTTTAGTATATTTGTATATTTTAGTATACGAGGTCTGGCTATTAAATAACGAGACTGATTATGAAAAAGAGTTTTATTTTAAAAATTATTCTACAATCGAATGCCCCCCTTCAATATACTCCCCTTCCCTCGCCACACACCGTTCCATTAGTTTTTTCCATTGGTCAAAGCAATGCTGGAAGTCTTCTTTTGTAAGAGCATTTAGGAGCTCCGCCGATTTTTGCTTCACCTCTTCCATCGACTCGAACCGGGTTCCTTTTAAGGCAGACTTGATCTTCGGAATTAGGAAAAAGTCACAGGGTGCTAAATCAGGCAAGTACGGCGCGTGTTCGAGCACTGGAGTGCCTCTAGCGGCTAAATAAAGCTTCACAGACAGCGCGTTATGTGCAGGTGCATTGTCCTGGTGCAAGATCCACGATTTGTGTTTTAACAACTCCGGCCGTTTCTTACGAACTCGCTCTCGGAGCGTTGCCAAAACTTTAAAATAGTAAGTTTGGTTTACAGTTTGACCCTCTGGAACCCATTCAGTCATCACGATGCCGTTGATGTCGAAAAAAACGATTAGCATGGCTTTAAATTTTGATTTCGACATCCTTGCTTTTTTCACTCTCGGCGATATAGGAGTTTTCCAGTGCATGGATTGCCGCTTAGTTTTAACATCGTATTGGAATATCCAGGTTTCATCGCAAGTGATGATTTTTTCCATCAATTCAGGCTCTTCATCTAACCGCTGAAGAAAATCTGAGCAGATCTGTTGACGGACGAGCTTTTGGTCAGGGGTCAAATTTTTTGGGACCAACTTCGCACAGACTTTCTTCGTGTTCAATTCGTCATGTAAAGTTTTCCTGACACTTTCTTTATTGGCGTTTACAGTCTCAGCAATCATCCGAATACATATAAGACGATCTACGCGCACAATTTCATTTATTTTGGTCACTATTTGCGGAGTTGAAAAAGAGACAGGTCGACCTGGACGTTGGTCATCCTCGGTGCTCTCTCGACCTTCAGAAAACCTTTTATTCTATTCGAAAACACCCGCACGAGATAGAGAATTCTCACCATAGGCCTCTTTCAACAACTTATAGCACTCAGTCGGAGTTTTTTTTTTAATTTAACGAGAAATTTCACATTGATCCGTTGCTCGTGTTTTTCGTCACACATTGTTATCGGCACGAAAAAAAAACACGTTCGTTTTTAACCTCTACAGAAAAAATACTACTACAGCGACAAAAACGTGTTTTCGTACTGAAAGAGTAGACACTTCCAGCTATCCAACGCTGCATTCGTTTCCCACCCTACCCCTCTAGGACGCCTTCTGCGCGCGCAGTCTCGTTATTTAATAGCTAGACCTCGTATTCAAGAATTAACCATTCAGAAGCATCCAAACCTTCTGGTGCACTTGGGAGATTTGCTATAAACACTGCCAGTGAATCTTTAATTTTTAACAGTCTTTCAGTCATAATGAGACAAGAATTCCACCTTGTAACCATATCACGTTTTACTTTTAAAATAGGAGCATTCATTTGAATTTGTGTATTTTTTATTTTTTCTTTTGCCACAACGCTCTGCATTTTTTTAAAATTGTATTAAAAATTTCATTTAACTGTATAGCATCTGCCATTCCTCTAACACTTAGTTTAAAACATGACCTATATTTTCTCCTGTATGAGATCCTACTATTTCTCTGGTTGCAATATTAAAAGATGTTTTCTCATTGTAAATAAAATGAATTGTAACCGATATATAACCTTTACAACTATCAGAGGTCCAAATGTCTGTCGTTATTGATACATACTTTACTGTAAGTAACATTTGCTTCAGTTTCGCAACAGAGTCTAAATATTGTTTTGGAATAATATTTTCTGTCATAACTTTTCTATTTGGTAATACATATATATATATATATATATATATATATATATATATATATATATATATATATATATATATATATATATATATATCGACCGTTAAGTACCAATACCTTCTATCTAACGACAAGTAAATTTTACAGGAGAAGCAAAAAACTTATTTAATTTTGCTCTGCCAATCAGAATAATTTAATATATGGACTTTCTACTTTTTTATGTATAAGATTATCGTACCTCACATATTTGATTTTGAAAGAGCTTTTGAAAAAGACAGTTTGTCAGTTAGGAGGTATTGTTTTTCTCTGTTACTTGAAATATATGTGTTTAATGGAAGATAGGAGGTCTTAAATGTAATTAAAAAATGAATTAAACTCAAAAAACTTTATTATTATTATTAATGATATCAACACATTAAGACTTCTGAGATAGTGAGTCATAGAATGTATGACAGTCTTGCGGTAACACAGTTTTCAATTGTTGTAAATGAGAGTACTTCGTAGAACTAATAGGTAGCACTTTGTCATGCAAGGGAGTATAAATCGGTTCAGGAATAATTTTAGGTCTTATGGGCAACTCACTCCACTCATCATCAAAGTTTCGTTTATATTGTATTTTTCCATCTATGGTATACAGTAAAGCCCTCAGATCTGTTACAACAGGATCTCCTACTTTACGACCTGGCCTAATGGAAGTGTATCGCCATGTGTCCTCATTTGCGTAATTTTTAAAAAATTGATAGTCAACCAATTTCACTTCATACGGAAATGGCTTACTTCTTGCTTCCTTAGTAGCAGAAGCATAATCGCTTGGAAGATGAATCTCACGATGCTTCAATTTAGTCTCGACAGCGCTGTGGACCGAGTCACACTCCATTTGAGTGTGACCCGGTTCTAAAAACTTTTGGGTTATAACTATCTGATATTTTACAGAAAAGGCAGATAATGCGTTAGACAAAATGTTATTCCGATTTTGGTATGTGCAGCCATCTGAAAATATTACTATAGGTAACCTGTTGGCGAGACAGTGTTGTGACAAGTAATCTAAAAGGAAGTTAACAAATGTGCTTGCTGTCAAGTCACTGGCAGTTTCGTCAAACCAATAGCATGTTGCATGATGAGTGACCAAATTGTAGACCGTATAGTTGTGACAAGTTAACTTCGTTTTGAAGTAGAGGGCACTTGCAGTCAGATAAGGACACACTTTGACAGCTTCAAGATCCATTGTAAGAAGATTAAATTCACCAGCTTGTGCTTTTTCCTTGTCATGTTCTTTCTCGGCTCTTGCTCTTGATTTACGTTGAATATGATCTTTATATTTTTCGTCTGAAATATTTCCTTCTTTATAACTGACACAGATGTCACACATATCCTTTTTTAAGGTATAAATAGAAAGATTTGAATCTTTAAATATCTTGTCAAAAGTATGTCTGCTTGCACTCTCTTCGTTATTATTTGAGCACCATATTTTATAGCAATTATAGAGTTCTGTTTTATTTCGGTAATATGGCTCGATGAATAATTTTCTCGAATTTTTTCTATTATAATGAGAGGGAAGTGTTGGGATATTTTTAAAAAATTCACGTAGCATCTGGATTCTTGTCGCCGTTCCTCTTGGCACAACTCGTTTTCGATTGCTATTGGTGACTTCATTACATGGAAGTGTTTTATGAACTGACTTCTTGACCCAAGATTGTACAGTAAAAGAACCTAGGGAAAATGTATTTAAAAAGGATGTCTTGCAAACTCGCAAATTACCCTCAGCTGTAGGCAAAAAATACTGGAAAGTACCTTCCCGTCTTGTCTCACACCCTACAGTTTTTCTAGCAGTAGTTTGTCGGGAGACTAATCCATTTATATAAATCTTCCTTTGTTCCCAATTTAAGTTTGTCCAAAAATTATTAAATATATCTTGTCGCATCTCCACGGTCAGTTTTTCACAATTCCTGACTTTACTTGTTGTACATTTTTTAGACTTGCATGCTTCACCCAGTTTGCGAGCGCTTCGGGGAGTATTGTGTAACATTTTTCCCTCTTTCGGATTTGTATAACCTAAGTAATCTTTGCCAAGCATTCTTAACTGTTTGTTACGATTTTTTTTCCAAGTCTTACTATCTGGTTTAATTTTTCTTTTTCGTTCTTCATTGATTTCTCCGAAATAAACCTGTCTTGGCACCAGCTCAGAATCCGGCACACTATTTTCTTCAGACACCCTATCTTCGCTCTCAGTCTCCGATGAATCAGACTCTGGGTTATAGGAACTTTCACTGGGTGAAAAATCGTGAGCTGAAGATGTACTTGGAGTCGATGCTCTCTCTGTAATTACATTTTCAGTATGAAGTTCCTCGTTTAACTGTTGGAAGTGGGAGTCTTCTAAATTGTTGGAGGAAAACACATTTTGATAGGAACGATTACTTTCTTGATTGTCAGACAAGGCAAGACTACCAACTTGTTGGCTTGTACTAATAGGAGGAGTAATATTTTCATTTGTCTCCGGAATGTAGGAACTTCCATCTGGTAACAGTACACTGTGGATCAATGTCGTAGTTTCATGAATTAAGTTTACACAGTGTTCGTCTTGGCTCAGATTTTTAGATTGTGATCTTGTGGGCTCTAAACCTTCAGAAATAATAACGCTAGTAGTAGACTCACTTGTGCAGCCATAAGGAATGTTTTCATCAAGTTTCAAAGCCAATCCTAATATTTCAGCTGCCCGTGTTTTCCTACGTCGATCTTGATTGATATTCATCTGTAAAAAAATTTGCATTTAGGTACTACTTTGAGATTTTACTTGAAAATTCAATGCTTTAAACATTGCTTGTTACGTAAATATAACTATTAGGGGATCGAAAATAATCTTTATTATAATTTATCATATAAAAGCAAAATGTTTTGTTTCCAATGTTAGTTAAAACGTACTTTAATATTAATAGCTGCATTTTTCTGTTCTTAAACAGCTTTTCATTATGACAAAATATCCAATATGCCCGTTTTTTGCGCCGCCTATGTACTACGAACACCTTAAGTAATTTTAATTATTTTTGTGGAAAGATCTGCTATCTACATTTCAATTTACTAAAACTCCCTTTGGTGGTTGTGTGTACATTTTTAACTATAACTGTATTATAAGCCTTGAATATGTAACTATCATCTTAACTTAAAATTAATTTATAAGAACTTTAACACACAAAAACATGAGTTAAATTGAGGTTAGGTATTTATTTTTTGTACAAAGTCTTACTTAGGCTGTTAATTTTAGTTGTAAAACACTCCTTACCTTTTGATAACACCAGACACACACGTAAATACAATATTGTACGGCAGAAGAACTAAATAAGATACAAAAAACGAATAATACCGGGAAACTGTTGATAGGCGGTACAACTAACAAACAACAACCACAAATGAGTAGATAGAAGGTATTTCTGCTATTCAGTTAGAAGGTATTTCCAGCATAAAAAACGCTGATTAAGGTAGGATATATTTCCATGATGTTATTTTAAATACTTTGAGAATAGATACAGTTAGGATATTTTGTTAGAAGATGCGTAACAAGCTTTGCAGTTAGATGGTGCGATAAACTCATTTTTGAAAAAAATGTTAGATAGGAGGTATTGGTACTTAACGGTCGATATATATATATATATATATATATATATATATATATATATATATATATATATATTGTCATACTTTTTCTTTTCCAACCAAAGAAAAATAAATAAAAAATCCATCGAAATAAAATTTCAAGATATCAATATAAACAAATTGTATATAGTAATTTAAGATAAGATTTAGTGTAGATAAGAATAGAAATTTGTTTGGCAAACGACCTTTTTCCGTTTCAAACAAAATTATCAAAAAACCTTTGTTTAGAATTAGAAGACATTTTACCTGTAAGTTAATCTTTTCATTGTTTGTATAGTCGAGTATTAAATGACCATATTTTAATCTTTTGAAATATGTATAAATGATGTATTGAAAAAAAAAACCAATTTTAAAGTAAGCTATTTAGTTTTCTCTGAAACCGAAATTAGGCTTTTCCAAAATCATGGTAAACACAATTTAAGCTTTTTGATTGGACGGTCGTTTTTAAATGGGAATTTGGTGAGTCGATCATGAGAGAGGAGAAGTTAGTCATATTTTGGTCATCGAAAGGAAACAGTCGTTTGTATCGAGATAGGGTGTGGTTCGTGAGTTTGGATACCGGCGTAACGAAAAGAAGTGAATAGTTTGAAGAAGGAGATAACAAGTGGATTAAAAGAGGTCCTTGTATCTACCGTGGGCATTTTATAAAGTATATGTGAAAGTATTCTTACGGCAGCAAGTTGACAAAAGGAGGTCCTGGTGTCATAAATAAGTAGCGGAGTTTGGAGAAGTGAATCAGGTGTTTTTTGTGTAGTCTGAAGGAGGTTTGCAGAGACGTAAAGAAGGAGCCGAGGTGCCAAAGAGGGGAGATCACATATTTGAGGAGACTGGACTTTTCTGGGTATGTTCCAACATACAACTCAAGAAGAAAATAAACTGTAAGTGTTTGTACAATTGAATTTAAGAATTAAAATTTAAGAACTGAGGTTTTGTTAGGCTAATCAAAAGTTTAAAGTTTTGTGGTTTCTTTTTTTCAAGTAAAGAAAATTTTAAGTAAAATTGGTTTTTCACGTAATATAAATGTATGTAGCTTTATAATCTTATTATCATAATAATTTGATTTATTTTCTTGTATGCTGATTGATCAGATAACGACAGAATTTAATTATTGTTTTATTCGTTCATATAAAATAAAGAAACGTAAATCTTTGTAATATAATATATTTGTATTCTTATCCTTTTCTTCTCTATCCCGATAAAAGACAACTAGATCTTTTGAATCCATCGAACACAGGTAATATAAGGATTATTTTACTTTCGATAACAAATAAGTTATAATTCTTTTTTATTGGCTCAACAAACTAAGTTTGAACTCAAAATAAACAATCATAACAATATATATATATATATATATATATATATATATATATATATATATATATATATATATATATATATATATATATATATATATATATATATATATATAGAAAAGGAAAAGAAGTCTTTGCTGACAACGTTAGAAAACGGAGCTTTGAGGTTTATTGGGATTTATTCAGCGGTAAAATAAGTGTACTCTTTTAACTAAGTTTCAAGCTTTCGAAAATGTTTATTTTCATCATCAGGAAAAACTGAAAATAAAGTGCGACTGTTAGTAAAGCATCCTCGAAATTAGTTATAGTGAATGGTTGTAAAAATCGAGAAAAAACTTACGTTAGTGAGGTTCGTCTTTCGTGGATGTTTCACTTACAGGTGACAATTTTACGCACCACTCATTAATTGAGTCAACATTTAAAATATTTAAAATATATAAAAATGGCATGGTGTATAAGACCAAACTTGGTAAATTATTATACTTAAACACATAAGAAAAAGACAGTTAAAAAGTTTCAAACAGCCACGTGTGCCGGCCAACTGTTGAATGATAGGTTAAGAGTAACTGTCATTCCTGGACATGGCAAATGACAGTACTTCTTCTTATTTCTTTGTCTTATGTGGTACTACTATTATTCCACATTAAATTTTTACAAAGGTTGTATTTACAGATGATACAAATGGGTATTTTTCGGTAACTGTTACGTTACGTTCCGGTTCCATATTCGTACCTGTTCCAAATACTAGTTACTTTTTAATCTAGTATTTTTACATTTATACGCCGCGCCATGTCTTTTTTCTAATGTTTTACATAAAGTTATTGTTTGTTGCCACCTAAGGCCTATTAATTTTGGAATGAATAACTACACTTTACTAAATTTATTTATTATAATGCAACGAAAAACTGAACAAAAGATTCAAAAGAATATATAGTATGCGTGGCGTGGTGATGTGAATTAGGTTGGATACGAGTCTTTTTTCTTCTTCTTTTTCTTTCTGCGAGTCGTCGGCTGTCATAAATAGCGGCTGCTGTGGGCAGAAGCAGAACCAATGTTGCCAGCGTTGCCGGTTGTAAAAATAACAATATTCAAATACTTAACAGTTATATTTTGTATTTTGTTAACTACTCGTGTATTATTTTTTCAAAACGATCTCATTGTTTTTTTTTGTTTTAATTTTTGTGTTAGGTACACGTATCTTGTTTATTTTAGTAAATAGTAAATCATAATTTATATACTCGTTTATTTTAGTTTCATGGAAAAATGTTTTACGCTTAAACAAAATCAAATATAAAAACTTCTAAAATAATATAGTAACAACAAGGGACCAATATTATGACAGATTTAATACGTATTATTTCACATCTTGCATACACCACCGTAATAATCCCGAACGACCGAACGTCCGAACCGCAAATCCTCAGTAACTACAAACTAGAAATTTTACCTACCCAAAAAATATAACTGGTCCCGGTGCGTATCGGTATCCAAAATACCAATACCAAAATATCGATATCAAAGCACAGCACAGGTATCGAATACAGTAACAGTATCGCCCCAGTAACAGTACCAGTTACAGTTACCAGGCTTGATTCATTCTGTGTCCGTCGTGTCGTTGAAAAAATCTAGATGGAACTGGAACTAGTATTTTAAAAAACCGGTAACTGTTACGTTACGTTATATGCTCATACCTATTACCAAATACTTGTTCCTATTATTTCGTATCATCTCTAGTTGTATTAGAAAAACAGAATTTTATAATGAAACTGTGAAAAAAAAAACACAGAAACCTGGAAACTTTACAATGAATCAGTCGTGAAACACCATTGAATTGTGATGAACTATCCAAATATAATAGGTAGGAGTAAATAGTGCTTAATTGATTAATGTCACTCCTTTTGTTCATTGCGTTTGAGTTTTGTGCAATGAATGCCATTTCTAAAAAAAGTCTTTTATTGTAATTGGATTTAGTAGCTAAAATTTTGACTGATTCGTAATTCATAATATGATGTTCTTTATTCACATGTTCTGCAAGTGCAGATCTTTCTGGATATAGTCTGCTGTCGCTACGATGACTGATTAGGCGACTGCCTAGGTTACGAGTGGTTTGTCCCACATATACCAAATTGCAGTTATTACAAGGGATCTGGTAAACAATGTTGGAACAATCTTTGATGTTATTTTTATCTTTAACCTTAGAATAAATAGATCTTACAGTTAGTGAAGTTTTATAAGCTATTTTTAAATTGGTGACATCTTTAAAAAGTCTTGTCAGTCTGGGTGTTATGCTTTTTATGTATTTCAGTGAAGTATATGAGCAATTGGTATTTTGTTCTCCATTTGTGACATTGATTTGAACCTCATCATTTCGGCGTGTTATGTTGGGGGTCAAACTAAATAGAATCTTGGTGACTAAGTTGTCCATGAAGAGGTTAGACAGGATTCTCAGGTTCTTCTGATGGAAAGAAGGGTCACTGAGGGATATAATTCTAGCCTTCATTTGTTTAAGTAAGTTGATTTTAATTGAATGTCTATGGTATGACCAATAGTTGAGGAAGCGTCCAGAACTATGAGGTTTTCTATGCCAGTCGATAACCAGGGAGTTATTTTGGGTTCTAATGAACCGGGTGTCAAGAAAGGGGACTGAGCATAGATCGTCCTCATGTTCGATTGTGAACTGTAGTAGAGGATCATACCTATTGAATACATTTAAGATTTATGTGGATCCATTGCTGGGGATAGCTAGGATTAAGTCATCCACATACTTTTTTACAAAAGGAATATGAAA